CTTTCAACTACAGTATATGGTCCGGCAAGTTCAGCATTCACTGTGATGTATATAAAATAAGACACTGATACCGTTTTCCTCAATGAACATTTATTGAACAGAACATCATGTGGAAAATCAGAGCTGGTCAACTTAAAAAAATATTGACCTGTAGGAGTTTAAAGCCTATTTAAAAACTCCTCTGAATCTTTCACAAGTCCTTCAGCCAGTGGCGGCTGGTGGAAAATATTTTTGGTGGGGCTGTTGATATAGTGAGTAAACACATTTTTTTTGGGAGAAATGACCCTTTAAATTAGGACTTCTGGTGATGTAATGGCGCGTTTCCAGTGCAGCGCGGAGCTCGCTTTAATGCTGCGTTCAGACCGGACGCGATGCGAATATTCGCTTCGCTCTAAACGCTCCTATCGCATTGCTCTAGTCGCTCGAGTTTCACCGCGGCTGCCAGCTGTGTTTACTCGCATTATTCAAACAAGACGCGCTGGCTCGGGAGCTACAACTACAACAAAATGAACATATTTTACCATGATTAAATTGTAATACACGTTTCTAAATGATGCCGACGTAACAACATACTGATACCGGTTAGTAAAAACCATTAATTAATGCTTTGACAAGTCTGCAGACAGACGGCAGGCGAAGAACCTTTTAGAATGCTTGTTTTCTGAATGGAGCTTGGCTAAGCTAACGTTATATATGCTCCGACCGTCCACACTCACAATAACGGCCTATACAGACATAAATAAACCAGCGACTGTATTCTCCATGACACAGACAGTCTGTGGTTTGTACTTGTTTAACTTTTGTCTAGTTTCTGAACAGATCGTATCTGTCCCCGGCTGTTTGAAGAGCAAGCATGGGAAACAAAAGATAGCATTTACCTGTTTGCATCGTTTGCATCCAGCTAGCCATGTGAGAAGCCTCGTTGATACGTTTTGTCTTTTTCACGAGCTTGCTGTGATATATACAAATCGGGTTGGTCCGGTCCAAAGTCTTTAAGTATCAATTTATCTCCCAAACTTCTCCTTTCGAAAGGATTGGAGAGTAGCTCTTGCACGGAATTGGGTGCGGACCGAGGTCCGCCGAATCCACCTGCACACCATTCTCATCCAACTACTGCGTCACCTTGGTCACTCACGAGTCTAAAAAACAACTCACGTCAACGCACGTAAGCAACGTGGGCGCCAACGTGAGCGCCCTCGTGACCAAAATATTTGACAGCGCTGATTGGCTGAAATTATGTTTCGGCGGCACAGTTTACTATTGAGACTTTTGCAACGTGCTGGTTGCTGCTGTTTGGCTCGGGGGCTCCGCCCGGTAATGATAAACTAATGCCATGGGCAAGGCCAGGCAGGAAACATGTGACTTATCAGTAACTTTAGACATCGTAACACAATTTTAAACGAGATTTTATTGTAGATTATACATTTTAGTGATACCAATTGTATGATATTTACCTTGTTCATTAAAAATAAAAATATATATATATATATTTATTTTTTTTGTATGTGGGAAGAGGTGGGGCGGCGCCCCTAGCGCCCCTATGGGCCGGCCGCCACTGCCTTCAGCCTTTGGTGCGCTTCCTCACTCATGTTCTTGGCGAGGTCATGAGAACAAAGTTCCATCTCACTGATCAGACAAGATGGTATAAAGAAGTCATATGTAATATTATAAAATCACATGCATCAGGGGTTGTACACTTTAATGTGTCCATTCACTAACCGACTCTTTAGGAAGGAAGCTGTAAGGCCTCTTGTTATAGGAGTGGTCCTCATCAGTGTCCAGGGGCATCTGTAGACAGTCAACCATTATTTTGACAGTGCTTTACATGCACGGTTTAACTCCTCCAAAAATGATCCAGGCTCGATTCAGAATGACACAATACCACACAAAACAAATGTTTTTGTATGTGTTTTAGGAGTAGTAACCCATTCTGAAACAGGCACACAGGGTCATAGATACGTTGAGCGATACACTGACCATGGTGCTGCTTGCATGCGTCCTTTTACGACTGATCCTGAATGTAGGTGGGACATTGTCGCTAAGGGTCGCCCTGCCTTCCTCACTATAGTGAGCAAACTTCTTTCCATACCTGCAATTAAGACACATTTTCTTGACCAGAAGGTTGAATTTTAGAGCCAGGTGTTCCCCCCAAATCTTCTTGATAATACAATTACAAATTCAAATGTTTTTGTAGCACTGCAGCATACCCTTCCAGTCCAAAGTTTTCCACCAGGATAACACACCACCACCTTCTCAGGAGAGACATGTCATGCTAAAGAAAGAGCATCAATTTTCATTAAGTTTGTTATAGCATTTTAATGTGACTTCTTTCCTTAATACTTACAATGCTGAAGTCAAAGCTGGCCTCCATGGCAAAATACCAGGCATACTGTAATGAGAATTTTATTAGCACATGCAAGACATAATGTACACGTGACGGCTTATAACTCCGTGAGAAAGTAGTCACACACCTCCAATAAAATGTGGAGGTGATAATGCCACAAGAAAGATGCACGAGAGGCCTACCTATACGTGAACATTCCTTAAATCCTTTTATTATTGCACACCTGTTTATTTGCAATCAATTGTGCCATATCACGGCCTTATTCTTACTCACCATTGTCATTCCCATGGGTCTGCTTCGGAAGCCCCTGTATGAAGAAAAGTTAGTAAGAGCATAATAGCCAATTGTGACAATACAATAGTGACATTGCAAACACCTCAAAATCCAGAGCAGTCTTCTCTGTCCAGGATCCTGCAATGATTTGCTGTGCAACACCCCTGGGAAAGCAAGAGCAAAACTAGGTCAAACATCAGAAATTAGAGTGAAAAAAAAAAGAAAAGAGGGGGAACAAAACGTTGTTGCTTCAGATTCAGAACATGAACCGCCAACTGTAGTCCACAGAACAGGGAACACAGTTGTAGAAAATAACAGCCAATAACACGTTCAGACCATGCAAATAAAGTAAATCATGTTATTGGAAAAAGTTCAACGAGGAAGATTTATCTCGGTCTCCCTTTTGATTGCGTTTGACACTTGGCTATTTCATTCAACTTTAGCTTTAAGGAAGCCGATCTTTTCTGACTATAACAATCCTTCCGTACTTAAAGGAGCAGTAGGTAAGTTTGAGAAACCGGCTCGAGATACACTTTGTTATATTCCATGGAATGCTCTTAACATGTTCAGTTAGCATATATGCTAACTGAACGTCGAGCATGTCAAGCTAAGATATATATATATATATATATATATATATAGCAAAATAAACACAATTACACTGCGCTAAACAGCCACATCGACAAACAAACGAGAACCTAAATAGTATGTAATTATATCTAAAACCACAATACGTTAATTACCTGAACTCGGTGCGCCATATTGTTTGTTGTCTGTAAACCTCCATGGCTGCTTCTCAGGTCGACTATTTTCATTTCCTCGCTCCTCGGTCCTCGGTCTCACCGGAAGTTGATTTGCCTGCGCCATCTTGAGTACCGTCCCATGGCTCTTATTTCTGCCGGAGGACCGAGGATCGAGGAGCGAGGAGCGATCATGGAGGAGCGATAACCGAGGAACCACCAGACCATCCTCCGATGAAATCCTCAGATACTCACCCCGCCCCCTTACTGTGTATCGCTCACTGATTGGACGAGGCAGTGCATGCACTGATCTGATGCTTCTTGACATGAGAGCAGAGTGAAGAAAATACATGAACCTCACGGGAGTCACTCCTCAGTTTATACCGTGTTTTGTTTCAATTCATGTATCATTTAGTTACAAATATATGATATATCTGAACAACAAAGTGGTCAAAAATCATTTAATTCATTTTTTGGAAACATTTTCATGATCGCTTTTTTCGTTTTACATTTTCATTTATTGTCATTTCCATTCAGTCAGTCATTAAGAGGTTAAGTGCTATTAAAATGTTAATGTGCTACATATCCAAACAAACAAAGTGTGCAATCCAATGAATGTTAATCTAACTGGGTTTTGATAGATAACATATCTCTTTTTCTTCTCTCAATTATTTTATTTCTATTGTGCACTCTAATCAATATTAATCAAACTATTGTTCGTTTATACATTTTAAGAATGGCGTTTATCTTTTTTGAGAATTAGTTCTTATTTTAATTTTATTTATTGGGGTCTACAACAGATGATACAAAGTTTGTGTCAGTAAATGTGTACTAACAGAGGCGGGGGGGGGTGTGGAAATAACGGGGACAGAGCTGCTGTCAGACGATCAGCTGTGCAGCGTCATCACAAACTGACGTCGCTTCACGTGACGCTCCGGAGGAAAGGACGTCCCATTGCTCTTAAAACTCATTTCCTTGCTTCTCGTGGTTTCCTTGCGTCCCTCCATGCTTCCCTGGTGGGAGGGACTAAACGCAGGGAAACGACGCAAGTGAGGGAAGCAAGGATTTCATTTAATCGACCTGAGAAGCAGCCCATGTCTCCTTAAATATCCCTGCGTCAGCGTCTCACGTGTTGGGCGTGCTCTCTTCTGACCATATTTGGAAGTACAACTTTCGCGGCCGCAGCTAGACCCTTCTCAGCCACCGTAGTGTCGTGTCAAGTGGTTGTGTCGTGTACCATCGTGTACTGTCCGCGGCCGCAGCTAGACCCTTCTCGAAAACTCCGGCTTTCCGGTCCTACGAAGCTGGTTCTCTTTTTAGTAGTGATGGGTCGTTCGCGAACGATTCGTTCTTTTTGAACGAATCTTTGAAGTGAACGAGATGAACTGAGTCCTCCCACAAAACCATTCGTTTGTTTGAGTCGCCGCCAAAAGCTAAAGAGAAGCTGTTCGCGAACGACGAACTTAAAGAACTGGCGGAAACAGTTCAGAACTGTTTCCTACAGGTCTTTTATCTTATATCCCTTTCTTTCAAGAGGAGGGTCTCGTTAGGGCCCCTCCGAAATACTGGATGTTCCATATTCTACACAGACAGAGTTGGACTCAGATGGACAACTACCACAAATACAATGAAGTACTTTACTGTTGGACTCAGTACTAGTTGGACTTCTACCACAAGTAGGCTACTATGAAGTTATTTTACTGTGTACTTTCAGTTATTCTCTGTCAAACTCCTGTGGCAGAAAATCATTTTTATCTCATCAAATATAGCAGAAAACATGCAGTTTGACAGAGGATTAAAACTGTAATCAGAGCCCTCTCATCTGAGCTCCGTTAGACACACACAGGAGCGGTACATCCTCCTCAACCTGTCCGCCAGAAATGCCTCAGAGGACGGATACCTGAACCTTAGCGTCCAGTTAGCTTAGCCGCTAGCTTAGCGATAAATACACACAGCGTTGTATTCTCCTCCCCCTGTCGGCCCTAAAAGCTTCAGAGGGCGGATAGCTGGGCTCCGTAGCGTCCAGCTAGCTTAGCTGCTAGCTTAGCGATAAATACACACAGCGTTGTATTCTCCTCCCCCTGTCGGCCCTAAAAGCTTCAGAGGGCGGATACCTGAGCTCCATAGCGTCCCGTTAATGCGAAACACACACACAGCGTTAGCGGGACATTCTCCTCCCCTGTCGGCCCTAAAAGCTTCAGAGGGCGGATAGCTGGGCTCCGTAGCGTCCCACTAGCTTAGCCGCTAGCTAAAAGGTAAACATAGATGGGTACATAGAATATGAATAAATCGTCACCGATGTAGAGGATATCTTTTTTGTATTCACTTTGAACTCGGCCAAATGGAGTTTAATGCTTTGGGATTTATGTTAGGCCACATAGTACGTGCATGGGTTTGAAAGTATAACGTGCTAGCCTGCTGTAATACATCGTATAGTCAGGCACACATTTATGACATTTAACAATGGCCAATTATATTTCTTAAATAATATGTAGCCTATTCCCAGAGCATAATTTATGTGGCAACAAGGTGAGGTGTAAAATGTGTTTTAATATCATACATTTTACGCCAGCAAACTTCTCGTACGGACTTCGGCAGTAGTGAAGACTCACTGAACGAATTAAGTACAAAGACAAATCGTTAGCGAACGTGCAAATCACCAGAAGTCGTTCGCGAACCGGTGAACGAATCAGTGAACGAATCTTTAAAGTGAACTGAATCAAAAGATTCATGTCCCCGAAGGGAATCTAAATGCCCATCACTACTTTTTAGCAGGCTAGATCTCCATGGTAACTTATGCTTAGCGGCTAACCTGGGGGGTATACTACGAATCTAGTTTAACCTATCCTGGATATGTTTTGAGTTATCTGGTTGACTTAATCCAAAACAAAGCCGCTCTCGCTAAACTGTCCTACAACGCTGGCTATCAACTCGTTCGCTCAAGCCAGCCGTGTCCTATCTAGTTAGGTGTGCGTTCACATAAAAGGGGTGGTATCTGGAGCATTCGACCAATCACAAACATGGAGAAGCGTACTGACAGCGCAGCGTCATACTTCAGAATGAAAAGTCAACTATAATATTAGTCAAATATGAAGAAGTTAAACTTTAAACATCCATGACTTAAACACTTTATCCAGGATCAAAGCCACATAGCTGCACCTGCAAGGTGAATACAGCTGGTTAAAGAAAGAGTGTTTGAACAGTTTTATGATATCACTGCACGAGTGGATCTGACTTTAAATACATTTGACTCGAGTGTTTCGTCAACTTAATGTGTTGCTTAAAATAATACTTCTGCATACAGTTTGTGACACTGTAAGCGTTGCACGGCCAGATACGGCTCAATAAGCTAACTCAGATAAGGAAATATATGATACATTATGATGTGATATGAATGATAATTGGATTGACGTCTGCACTCACAGTGCCGCGGACTGTAGGCTACGTAATGTTACTTTGATCCGGTTTCTTATGTTGTGGCAGATATTTAAGTAAGCTTTCTTAACGCTAATGTTATAATAGTCAGATTGCTCTGAAGATGGGAGGTGATATTCTATTCATTTTCATGTTCACACAGTCTGTGATTTTGGCCGGCCGTCTTTCCTGTATTTCCTCCGCACACTGAGCTCTGATTGGTCAGCAGGCGTGGTGCTTTCGCTGAGTTGATCTCTTATCCTGGAACCTATCTTGCTTCGGAGCACAGACTAGGTTCCAGGATAAATCACCATGGAGATCTAGCTCGCTAAAAAGTGAACCAGCTTCGTAGTACCGGAAATCCCAGAAGTTATCTTGCTAAACGAAAATCCTGCTTCGTAGTATACCCCCCTGGTCGGGACCAGGTTAGGTTGCAGGCTAAGAGCTCAACTCAGTGAAAGCACTGCCTGCTGACCAATCAGAGCTCAGTGTGCGGAGTTTAAAGCGATCAAGTCATATTACAGGAGAAAGGAAATACAGAAAAGCTGCCGTTGCAGGAAAGACGGCCGGCAAAAATCACCGACTGTGTGAACGTGAACATGAATAGAATATCACCTCCCATCTTCAGAGCAATCTGACTATTATAACATTAGCGTTAAGAAAGCTTACTTAAATATCTGCCACAACATAAGTAACCGGATCAGAGTAACATTAAGTACAGTCCGCGGCATATCACTTCATAATGTATCATATATTTTCTTATCTGAGTCAGCTGAGCCGTATCTGGCCGTGCAACACTCACAGTGTCACAGACTGTATGCAGAAGTATTATTTTAAGCAACACATTAAGTTGACGAAACACTCGAGACAAATGTAATTAAAGTCAGATCGTGTCTTAGACGGGGCAGTGATATCATAAACCTGTTAATGTACGCACTCAAACACTCTTTCTTTTGCCAGCTGTATTCACCTTGCAGGTGCAGCTATGTGGCTTTTATCCTGGATAAAGTGTTTAAGTCATGGATGTTTAAAGTTTAACTTCTTCATTTTTGACTAGTATTAAAGTTCACTTTTCATTCAGGAATTATGACGCTGCGCTGTCAGTACGCTTCTCCATGTTTGTGATTGGTCGAATGCTCCAGATACCACCCCTTTCATGTGAACGCGCACCTAACTAGATAGGACACGGCTGGCTTGAGCGATCCACTTGATAACCCGCGTCGTAGTACAGTTTAGCGAGAGCGCGTATGTTTTGGATTAGGCCAACCGGCTAACTCAAACATATCCAGGTTAGGTTGAACCAGCTTCGTAGTACAGGCCCCTGGACCCATCTTTTTTATAAATGTTCACATTATAATTTTTGTCATTTGGATTGTCTACTCTGTATATCTATTTTTTAATCCATAAACAATAATAATAATTCATTTATTTTATATATATATGCGCCTTTCAAGGCTCTCAAGGTCGCCGTACAAACACACAAAAAACAAAATACACAATACATAACACCAGCAGAAGAAACATAAACAAGACAAGGCAGTATATAAAAAGAAAACAACATCAATTGCATGTCTGTCCGTCCTAGGAGAGGTATTCCTTTTTGGAGGGGTTTCTTTGGGAGTTTGTGAGGGTCTAAGGACTGAGTGTGTCATATGCTGTACACCCTGTAAACACACACATGTGTAGTTTGTGCCATTGGGTTACATTTTGATTGACTTATGACATATCAAAATCAAGATTGATTGATTATCAAAATGTTATTCCCTGGGAGAGGGTTAACCCCAACCCTTACCCTAACTCACCTATGTACATACTGTAGTTCCCTCAACATTCCCCTAGTTCTAGTGTCTAACCCTTCTTTTGGTTTTCCAGCCCTCAACGGTACAGTGTTTATTCAATGCACTCATGGACCATGTTTTCAGCCACACACAAAAAAAAGGTATTCATATTGATGGCTTCTAAGAGCATTTAAGACTGCGTATGATTTAATCAACCATGTAGGTTTACAAACAAATCAATCAGTCATATGCTCCTCTTTCTACAACAAGGACATAAAAGGAACTTTAGTTCTGGGTTCTTGTTTTGTTCTGTTGCCTGGTTCGTGTGTTTATCTCTGCTAACAATCACGTATATACATCCTCACCCAGATATCATTAGATAATACTTGAGAATTAAATGCTGTATGGTATTAAATAAATGATGTGGGATTAGATTTTCTTCTTGTGCTACTCATGTAGTAAATAATCTAGATGTAAAACAGGTCAAGTGTGCATTTCATTAATACTGTATAAGGTAAAAATACACCTTGCTATAAGTATAGATTAATGTCTCAGAATTGTATGAGACTGCGCAGTTAAAATGTTATGTAAATCAAATATATCCTTCTGTCAGACAAAACACAGGATCTTTCTACAGACATTATTAGTGGTACTGGATTTCTTTACTTTAATTTGAGTAATAAAACAAATCTACAATGTAGCTGATTGAACATTAAAAATGAAAATGAATTATTTTGTCCAGTACATCTTATCCAAACCAGATGAACATTTTAGCAACACCTAGTCACTGATAAGGTCTGCTCTTGACACGGTAGAACACAATTATTTATGAGTAGAAATAAATATCATTGCCTAATCCACTTTGGGAACCTGATCTCAACCCAGTTTGGTTAATGTGTCAATTGCAACCATTGCACAGTGGAATCTAATTATCTAGCCAAAACTATACAATCGTAATAAAATCAGATCTTAATTTAGTATCTAATTTAGTTGCTGTGAAATAACACAACACTATGCATTCATCCAAAAACCATATACTGTATTATTTATATTTTCTTATAAAAAGAATTGCTGATCATAGCCCTTCCCAAAGATACAACTTATGTCAAAATGCTGATGTGACTTATGAATTCCATTTACTATACGATGTATTGTAAAGGTATACAATGTCTGATTCATTATAAACTTAGCATTTCAAAGCAGTGGGCTTTACAAACAATCTCTTAGTTATGTTAGTACTAAAGAGTGTATATGAAAGTATTTGAAAAGCTGATGGAAAAACTCTGAGGGTAAAACTAATTTGAAACAACTTTCCTTTTTTGCTACTCAAGCTAATTATTGACATATAATCAACATCTTATATATTGTATTAATATTTCATGAAACTGTATCATTTCATTTAACTTGAATTGCTAATATGTTAGCAAACAGGTGCTAAACTGTTAGCACACTGCTTGCTGTGGTATTTTTACATCCAGCTGGTT